GTTGAAATTATGAGTAAATTGAAGCTAGACCGCCATGGAAAACCTGGTAGCACTGGACGGCCGTTTCGTCCTATTGTGGGACCCCTCAGTAGTGCGCGTCCACGATCCTGCCCTCAGCGAGATTCGAACCCAGCACATATCAGTCTCGCGCGCGAGCGCTTAACCATTAGACCACTGAGCCGACAGACAACGGTGTTAATGTCTAACTTCAATCAATCCACGAAATCGCGCCACCGCACACCATTGTCTTCAGTGAGTTGATATCTCACAACAGACCTGGTTGGACTCCACTGGTCACGACTTCTCACTAGCTTCAGTCGACTAATGATTTCAACTATTGAAATTTCTAAAATCTCCACAAAAACCCCTTCTGATAATTAGAAATACGTTGAAAAGTTTCAGATCTTCTGAAACATTTCATATATATGGTTGAATAGGCTTTCAAACTAAATTTGACTACGGAGTACTGGATAAAATATACAAAAGCCCAAGCTAAAAGATAACATTTCACGTTGGGTCAGAGTATAGTTTATTACTGAATAGATATTCAGGTAATTTTCTAAAAGTTTCTAGAATTTCTGCTGAATTTCAGTTTGGATTAGCAGATCTACTTCAAATCAACTTATTAGCACAATCTTCAAACTACATGCTTGAATCAGATAATTGTTTACATATAAAATATGATCTTTGTGCGACATTTCATTGTATTCGTCGACAAAGGATTGCATAGTATCAATGTCGTTAAATGTACGACATTTTAAAGTTTGTGTACACACAGTAACAACATTGTTACGTAAAACTCCATCCCAAAAAAAAATATTATTCGCCAGTGTAAGTTTGATGGAACAATAAAGAAATCCATCTATTATATCTACCCATCCATATATCAATCTATTATATCTATCTATCTATCTATCTATCTATCTATCTATCTATCTATCTATCTATCTATCTATCTATCTATCTATCTATCTATCTATCTATCTATCTATATATATATATATATATATATATATATATATATATATATATATATATATATATATATATATATATATATATATATATATATATATATATATATATATATATATATATATATATATATATGTATATCTTCGATAGGAAATCCTGGCCTATGTTTCTCCACGAGAGGTAACAGTCGTAAGTAAGTAATATATACATATCTTCCAGAGGAGAAACTATTGAAAATATCATTTCAGAAATATTCTTTTTGGAGATGTATCTAGAATCAGTAGCATTTTTGTGAAATCATAATTTATTCATTATACACTTCCATGATTATACTATTTTGACCAATCAAAATTGTTCAGAGAACCGTTTAGAGCACCAATCAAAATGAAGCTGAGTAAAATTAGAAGCCTACCAATAAAATTATCAAAGAAGTCAAACGTATCATTGAACATTTTACACCTGAATAGTAATTTAACACTATAGTTATATATAGTTATATATAATAGAGGCATAGAAATTGGTTTCTTTTTTTAACAAATGGACTACTGAAATACTAGTACTAATACACTCAACCAATGATTAATTTCTCGTGTGAAATTGAATAATTACTTAACAATGATTATTTTAATGAATTATTGGATCGGTTAGTTTATACAAGTAAGTTGCAAAAATAAGTCTAGATAATACTGTATTATTGTTATTATTGATTGGTCTGTAATTTAGTTAAGTTTAATCATATATTGTTTGTTATTCTATGCATTCAGAATAATCTATATTCTAACGACCCTTAGATTCCGGTACAGTGGTTTAAGAGTTAAACTTAAGATCTTTAGGTAATGTATTCGATTCCCTATGGTGGAATGGTGGATATCTATTGGTGAGGGGCTCTATAATAAGACAAAATTATCGTCTGGTGTTTTATGGTTTTCCATGGTTGTCTAACTATGATCAACTTGTGATTTAAACTGTTTCAGTTTAGTTTCGGAGATAGATATTATCAAAGGGAGATTATTTTTATTATTATTTTGTTTACCAGGTGTAGAAATTTTAAAAGCTTAGTTATTATCAGTACATGAAGATAGATTGCCTATGTGTTATGTAGTTATATAAATGTTTCACAAGTAGGTTATCAATATAATTCTCTACATCAGTGTAGATTAGTTATTTTTAATAAGTAGTAAGTGAGTTTCAGAAAGAAAATATCACTTTTAAGATACTTTAACACTAAATTTGATTAAATCATGCAATAACAGGATTATTTGACAACTACGTTTGAGAAGAATGACCATCTATTTTACACTGTATTCATTTAGTGACTATAAAAAATATAGAGAAACTAACATTATACTTATAATCTTTCAGAAAAAAATCTATTTATATTTGAAAATGATCATGTCATAAACTAATTGCATGTATAATATCGGTTGAAAATAAGATTAAACTTAAGAAATCTAGATTTTTCAACTAGAACCATTCATTTAAATTAGTGACTTGATTTAACCATTGGTACACATTATCAAAAACATTTATCGATTAACATCGATGGTAAGGTAATATCTTACTCTCAAGCTAACTGATTCCTATTGAGTTAAGTTATATATATATATATGGCTATGGGTGTATACTGTTGATGAATCTCAAACTAGAATGAAACACTTGCTCACTTCTTCCTAGTCTTAATTAATTCTCTAATTGTTATCAGTTTATAATGAAAATCATTGATTAACGTATAAAAAATCTCTCCAGAAAACATATTAGTAAATCGACTCAATTTCTATAAAAAAAAGAGTTTTTTTTACATAACATAGTCCTCTTATACACTGAAATAATAAAGTTTTGACCTTGGTAATTAATTAAATAATTAATTCGTGAATTAGTTGAAGTTAGAAATTAACACCATTGGATGCCAGCTCAGTAGTCTAGTGGTTAAGTGCTCGCGCACAAAACGAGTAAGTTCTGGGTTTGAATCCCACGGGTGAGGTCGTGGATGGACACTGCTGAGGAGTCATATAATAGGACGAAACGGCCGTCCGGTGCTTCCAGGTTTTTCATGATGGTCTAGCTTCAATTGACTCATGATCTCAACTATTGAAATTAATTAATTATTGGAGATAATATTTTCAATGAATTTGAGAATTTATTCAAGTATACTTGATCGAATAAAGAAAAAAAGAATCCAACTAAATAATTGAAATTATCACCGCTAAAATATTAACTGAAAGCTAAACTAAAGTAATATACAATTCGATAAGTCTATTTCTGGATACTTAAATTAGAATATAATTCACTATTTTATTGATCATTTGAAGATAGTTTTAATTATGAAATGATTGTTTAAGAGAAGTTGAGTATTAAATTACTGTTTTGTTGTTGTCTAGACCTTTATAGAAATTAAATGCTTATAATATCACATGAGATTGAACACATGATTTTTAAGTTTAAAAGTAAGTTACTTTTATATAAGTTGACCAGTGTTCACTTATTCATTACTTACTTACTGGTTAGCGTTTTTTTAGCTATTTAGTTTTCTACGGGATGGGGTCTCTAACCCCCTGCTCAACACTCCTCCTTTATCCGGGCTTGGGACCGGCAGTAGCCCTCGGAGGGACTCCAGGCGGAGTTCACTTATTCATTATTAACCCTTAATATAATAACATGAGAAAGTAACTCTTTTATTTCTGATCGGTTTGAATTTAATTGGTGATAATTTATCATTGAAACTTTAGGATATTATCATCTCTAAGGTAGTTACTAATTAAGTTGAGATGAATAAATGATATTGTAGTTCATAGTTATTTTCAAATTATAAGCTTATCAAATATTATGCATAGAGATAGTGAACAGTAACATCAATGTACATGATGTTTGATAAAAGATATGATTATTAAAGTTAGTTTATTTCAAATTGTTAAAGTCTTAATATAGTTCAAGTATAAAGATAATATTCATTTAAAACATTGAGAATAATTTATAGTGTGGAGAGATTAGAAATGATCCAATTTGTAATTGGAATCACAAATCAACTTAAGTTAAACAATCATTGAATACCAGAAAGGATTCGATAGCTGTTTTGTTTCATTATTGGACTTTCCGGCGATGTTATTCCCTGAGATTGTAGTCAGGAAATTTAAGTTCTTGTTGTTAGCATGTAAACGAGTTGACATTTAGTGTTTTACATATCTCACTTCAATCAATTCATGGCATTGTACAACCATCTATCATTGTCTTCGGTGAGAAACTATCTTATACCTGAAATGGTTGAACTTCACTGGTTATGGTTTTTTATTAAAACTAAAGGAATTTCTTTTAGAAGTTAGTCATTAGTGAGCACATGATACTCATATGTATGAGGGTTTGTGGAGTTTGTTGTTTAATTTTTAGTTTAAATCACTGAGTAGTAGTTAGATAAAAACCAACGAGCATTGGACAACTGTTTCACCCCGTTATACGACTTAGTAGGAGTGTATTCTCTTAAAAAATCGGATGTACTAGATTCTGACATCGCTGTGAAAGTGTTACTTTTAGACCAACTGACTTGTCAATCAACAGCTGATATCTTCCACCTCGATCAATTTAGTCACGAATCAACCGAAGTTCTTGGCATGGATAACCTTCATGGTTACAAATATCTAAAGAAATTTTTAAAATTATTATCGAGTGACCAATTTATTCATATGAGGTTGAATTGTTTTCTTTAAAAGTAACCGACGATTACAAAAAAGAACTGAGAAATTTCGCATAATATAAATTAATTTATGCAAAAATGACTTTCCAGTAAATAAGAATTTTCTTAGTTACACTGTTATTGTTTGACTCAGTTAAGAGAATAATTGAGAAATTTACATATATATCTATATATACTTGAGTTTGTAGTTAAAAATCATATATGTTTATCAGTGTACAATTGTATTGTCTTCAACTGGCATGATCTACAAATTCACAATTTCTGAAAATACCACACTCTTTAATTTACTTTACCGTGACGTTTTAATCTTTACTTATGAGAGTATTTCTTTGATAGATATGTATCATGTTAGTTTAGAAAACAAACAAACAAACAAACAAACAAACTCTGTATATTGCGCAATCAAGCGGAAATAAGTGAATATCAAATGAAGGTCGCTAGAATTAACTTTGGGAACTGGATATTAACTAACAAATAACCGTGTTAAAATTTATTGGTTGATGATCTTGGTAATTAAATGCATATACTGTGATGTCATTCGATGTATCATTGATATTTAGTAAGTGTATTATCATCGTAAATACTAAGTTGTCAATTGCATTTAATTCTTACTTGGAAATATGTCATTTATAATCATGGCAATCAATTTGCTTATTACTGATAGAATACAAAACGTAGTAATAATAAGTATTTTATGGTCTATCGACATTTTGGCATCCTGATGAACAGTGATGCAAGTATCAGTAGGACATTGGACAGTGAGAATGGGAATATGTCATCATTTTGACGCAATTTATACTCATGATGAACGGATATAAAATATTTCACTGATTGATCATACATTTTACTTAGTACTGGAATAGGCATTGAATGATGGAGAAAGAAATCTTGTGTAAGAAGTAACTTCATTTTGAATGGATATAGTATCTTTATAACATATATATATTCATTTATCCAATATATATTCGTCTATTTACCTTGTTAATGTGGATACATATATACTCTGCTTAATAAATACACAAAGCCAGCTACTGCAGTTTTTCTTGTAACTTAAGGAAAACTCTCTGGAAATTCGAAAAGTTTAAGAAATACTTATAACGATAGGGTAGTGAAGAAAGTATCTTTATTGAAGTTAACTAGGTATTTTAATGAAGTCTGTGAATGCCACAATAATCACGCGTGGCCAATATGACGGAGAATACACTGTATTGATGAAAATGTTAGACGGATGAAGTTTTCTGTGTTTACCGATTGTCATTCCACTCTCTAGATGATAAAGAATATTATTTTTAAGACTTGTCAATGTGCATTACTCTAGTCAAACATTTACGGTTGAAAAGCGACGAGGCAGATGAAGATTCTGATTTCTTAGGGGAGTTCCATGGATGCCTTAAAAAATGGAAACGAAGATAGGGGAAGTATATTGTTACAAATGGGATTTATTTCAATGAATATAACTTGAATATACCATAAAATTTGTACAAAATGTTGTTGATACAAGTATAATTTGTGTATTTATAGAATGCCTGGAAAGTAAACAAACTGTAGAAATTTTTTAAGTGGCTTTTTGAAACTTTTCTACATAATTTGAAATTTCGTCTTAAATTTACATATATTAATGAACCATTGAAACCAAAATGCAATGGATAACTATTTATTCTGGATCCAATGCTTTGACTAATTACATCAGTACTAGGAGAGAAAATTTACCCAGTTTTTTTTACGTTCTCTAGTCAATATCACCTTATGATGAAAATGACTGAAAAGATTGAATTTCTAAGTCAATTCACAATTTATTTTTGACAATGTTATCCCTTCTATTACAAATCATATTGAACATATATGATATGTGAACTGGTTATTAAGTATTTATAGCATAGAACTATTGTTACTTACAGTAGAATCCAGCAAGCACATTTCGTCTAGTTTGAGGCTCATTAACTGGCTGGATAATTCAAATTTTTACTAATTATGATTAGTAAGAATTTTTACTCATTTTCATACTGTATATTCGTTCTATTTTTTTTTCAATCGAACCAAGCAACGGTTTGTATTCAATAAATTTTTTTAATCATTTATATGATTGTAGTTGTAAAATTAGATCACTTTCCAATAAGATCGAACTTAAGAAACGTGTTTCTCTTTAATACATTTCATTGACCGTATTTCTTAATACCTTGAATCGATCTTATCATGCTGTTAGTCGTATGAATGCAACATAATGGTGCCTAATATTAAATTGAAAAAAAAGACCAACCGAACTTAGAAAAAAATGGAATTAGGGTCAGTTATTCAAAATTCAAAGTTAATATTTCTATTGTCTAATAACTTCGTTTTACACTATAAGACTGTTTATTAGTGTTAATTAATGAGAGATTACTCTATAAATAAATGAGACCATTATTTAGTATTTCCTGGTTCAAAATCAATAGTCAGTCTGGTTTATAGATTTCTCTTAAAAAAAAAGTTACTTTTTTATCAACCTATTTCATTTAAAAACTGTACAAATTTACGAATTGACATTTTAGTCAACGTATGGTATAAAGATGAGCTAATTAGAATTGAGGAAACGGAATTGAAGTTGAGCGAAGTTCGGAAATAACTGACGTTCATCTTTTATCACACATACCTTTGTATAGTGTTTACAACATTTAAAATGATTAGAAAAAGGGATCTTTTATTATCATAGACAAAAAGTGATTATACTGATCTTACAAAATGCTTACTTATTTCAATGTAAATTTCATGTAGCATGTAAATTGATCAGTTTAGTTTCAGTCTATTTTATTCATAGTAAAGTAGTAAAGAAATTGTTTATTGATGGTTCATTGAATACTTAACCGGCTAATGGAGTGGGAAGGCTAAAACAGATATTGATTTTCATGTAATATCTTCTCATATCGATATGGGACAATGATAACATATCTAAAACTCGATCTCTCTAACTATTCAATGAATTTATTTCTACAAATTTTCTATAAAACTTATTGTGGCTATAAGAGAAATTCGAATATAAACCCTTTATATCGTGGGTAAATTTCCACTTAGATAAGTGTGGCTATGTGGTGGTAATTTTACACGTTGAAAGTCAGCGTTGGAAAATCGATAAATTTTACTAACACTGCTAAATCCTAACAAGTTATTTTAATTTTGTTTTAAAAGAATTTTGACTTATACAGACTTTCTGTTGTCTAAATTGTGGCTTTACTATCACCAGGTCCTTGTAAGAATTACTAAAGTTCGTTCTTCTAACATACTGTAATTGAAATCTTAATGTAAATTCATTCAATGAACAGTTTCTTTTTTGTGAATAAAAAAAGGATTTGACGCTGAGTTATTTCTAGCACCTGATTAGGATACAGACTAGTAAAAAACTAATAGATACTTTCAAAGCAATATTTTACAATTTCAATGTACATTATTGGCCTATCGAATACTTTCAGTCACCTAAAGTCATCGACAAAACTAGCTGGTTGAAGTTAAAAATAAAACAAAAGTAACTTCCCACTTTTTACCAATCTTTCAGTCATTAAAAATATAAATAAAAAAATATTCATCCTGTGCATTGTAAACGGAATACACTATTCAATATTGATCAGTTTCGCATTTCATAGAAAAGTTGATAGAAACTTCTAAAGCTTAACATATCTTGAAACTTAAATTGACATTTTGTTTGAATCTTCTCATTGATGTTTAGGACTGCAGTTGATTAGTTTTGGAGTGAACATTAATTCTGGGGTGCAGGGACAATTAGCTGACGAGTTCAAAATAGGACGAAACACGCGCCCTGGATTCCACTGTTAGCCACCATCCATCTTTGCTTATCTCTTGACATTTTATTTTAACACAATTACTGATTTCTTTTTTTTTGTTTCTTCTTCATGGAACGACAAATAACATAACTTAAGAGTAATATATATTTACTAATTTACTAATTTTCAGTAATTAAAAGATATTTAAATAATTTTGAGATAGTGGAGATTTGTGACTCAAGCTGATGATTTAGCTGGATGGTTTAATCCAGCTCAGAGAATGAGATTCCACCAAAAGTTATTTACATAGCGTGGAAGGAAGTAATTTGAGTGAGTTGTGTTGGCTTAGACTGTCACTTGTAAGTTAGAAATTCCTCTAGGTCAGATATTATTTCATAATTTCATAATTTCGGTGGATAACTCATTTTACTGTTGGACAATTAAACGTAAATTAACCAATCATTTTTACCCTGTAATATTATTTTAGTTGGAAGTGTATGAAAAATGTGATTTTTTGTTAAACAATAATTGTTTTTCATAGTTTAAACCATGGGCTGATCTCGTATAGAAAACTGCCGAAAATCAGGAAGCACTGAAGGGATATTTCTTCTCAGTATAAGAATACACACCAGTACGTATCTAAAAACTCACTAAGAATCAAAACCAAAATCTTTCAGGTTTAAGTTGAGTGAGTTCGACAAATAGATCAATCATCTTTCAGTGCCTTTGAGATGGCTACTGTCGCGCATCGATAGAGTTGAACCCCATTGGTTACAGTTTTTCATTAGATACTCGGGGAATTGATTTCCAGAATTTGTTAGCAGTGAGTGCAATATTATTATTACTATAAGGGGTTTGTGAATATTTTTGAACCTCATAGTTTACTATACTTATTTTATAATCACAGATCATGCGCTGTTGTTGTTAGTAAGCTTTAAAGTACTAATGAAGTAAATAATTCAATTTATTGTTAGTTGATTACATCATACTGTAACAATAAGAAATCGAAATAAATTGAATTACAATTTTTTTGAATTCGTTGGAAAAAATAAATTGATTTTAATTCGTTTTTCTATTGTCTGTTTGAATCTTCCACTTGGTGTTTGAGACTGCAATCGATCAACCTCTTATTGGTATATGTTCATCCTGTGCGAATTGCCATGGTGTTGTCTGAAGTCATAAGCATTATAAGCAGAGATGGATGGTGGCTTTGAGGGGAATCCAAGACATGCATTTCGTCCTATTTGGGACTCATCAGTTGAATGTATCCGCATCGCACAGTTCATATTCACGGCGAGACTATCTGAACTCGGTAGATAAGTGAATAACGTGATGGAGTTTGAGTATCGGAGTGAACATCAACTGTGGGATGCCAGGTATATCCCGCTGACGAGTAACAAATAAGATGAAACGTGCATCCTGGATTACATTGCCAGCCATCCATCCATGAACTATTTTTTTAGTGTAAAATAACTATTTTTTAAATTTCCACATTACTTTTAACATTCTCTCTTCAGGGTAAGTAACTTCAAAAATAGGAAAAAACCATTTGTGCATGTTTTAGAATGTTGAAAGGTGAGAAGGAATGAAGAAAGGAAATACATATCTCATTTTTATGTTGCTTTTCAGAAGATTTTTACTGTCATTTTAAAATGTGCACATTTCCTGTTGAATTATTTTCATATTGTCCTGAAATTTATTTTATAGTTTGCAACATTATAATATTGAAATCATTCAAGTAGAATAGGACCATTCACTAGAGAAAGATAAAACTTGAACCAGCATTATGATAATTTGATGCTAAAGT